GCAGCGGGGCCCCAAAAAGTGCGCTGCATGGCCGCGCCTTCGCGGCGCAGCGCGCGCGCGTGTCTGCGCGACGCTGCGCCGCGCCGCGTGGGGCGGCGTAGCGTGCGCTGCATGGTCGCGCCTTCGCGCGGCGCCGCGACGGCGGCGCGCCCCAGCGTCTTCGCTTGGCGCGCGGCCGTCGAGGGCGCGCCGGCGTCCAGGCGAGGCCAGCAACGCGCGCGCTCGCGACGGCCTGCCAGGTCGTGTCTCGGCGGCGAGCGATGGGGGAGGAGCGAGAGGGGGAAGCCTTCTCAGAAGGCTCGGGCCCCCCCCCAGCCTTCCGAGATGTTTTCCGAGCCCTCCGCGCAGACGAGAACAAATCATCAGAAGGTGCGGGGGCTTCCGAGAAGCCCCGCCGCCTTCTGCCGCGGCCTGTCCCTTCTCATCCCCCCCTTTCTCGCTCGCTCGCCGCCGAATGTCGCGCCGTTGCGTTGCCGATGCGCCGCCGCGTCCAGCGGCCGTTCCCACTCCAGGCGCCATTCCGAGCCTTAGTGCGGCTCATTCAAGTGGTCCGACAACAGATGCGACAATGACATGGGCGACGCGGCCAACTTGGGCGACGCGGCCAACGCAGCTGTTGCAACACCGTCGACGACCACATCGCCGACCACGACAGGCGTTGCTTCAGCCGTGGCAGCGGCTCTGGCAGCGACGGCTTCAGACGCTTCGCACGACGACAACGACCCACCACGCAGGACGCAACCAATCGACGTCAGCACGATCGTCACCACAGGGGCGCTTAGCCTCAACTCAGACGAGCCCAAAGCGGCGCCCCTCCCAATAATCATCCGCCACGTGGCTGGGACAGTTGAAATGCGGTGTCTTTCATAGACAGCCAGCAGGCAGCGCCAGTCCCTGTCCACGCGACCACGACCGGCCTGCTGATATGCACCGGCGCAGAGGCTCTGAGACAGTCCAGTGCATCCCGCGCGCGCGGCCATGGTCAGCCTGAAGCCCACGCAAGTCGCGCGCGGCTTTCCGCGTGCACATTTACACGTGTTCAGCACCAGAACTATGCCACTCGCCGGGGCGCCGCATTTGTGCGCGTGGAGACCCAAGCGGACCCAGGGAAAGGGGGCTTCCTACCTCGAGTTTCTTTGGTCTGAGCTCATTAAGGCCGATCGCTGACCAGCGCCGAAGGCGAATTTTCTTGGTGCTGGGCGTCGGGTGCAGCGTCCCATGCTTCAGCGCCATCTTCTTGGTGCTGCTGGGGACCAGGCGCGCAGGCCATTGTGCCAGCGCCACTTTCCGGGTGCCGCCTGCGTGCTGTGACCTCGCCGAGTTTGGCTGCATCCACCTGCGCACCGCCGATTCGCACCGTCATCCTGGCAAGATTGCGGCCATGGCTCGCGCGTTCTCCAGCGCGCCGCGCCGTGCTCGCGCGCAGCCGAGCAGCGCGAGAGCGTGTGCGCGAGGCACCACTTGCGCGCTAATCTCCGTGGTCGCACTCAGCCCAGTGCGCGGCAGCCAGTGCAACCGCGGTCATGCGCCACCTGGGCTGGGATGGCGTGTCACAGTGCGACGCGAAAATTTTGTGGATGTGGATAGGTGTGCCGCTAATATCAACCAACGTCGCAGCGTGTTTCATGACTTGTTGTTTTGTTTTGCATTAGGGCGGGAGGTATTCGTCAAGTAACGTGCATTGCATGCCGTTTCCCTCGGCGTCGCGCACTCCGACGTCGTGTACCAATTCTTATCATATACATATGTCTGGCAGTAGCTCAGCCTGGTTCTCGCGCCGATCTACATTTTGCGAGCGTAGTTTTGACCTGGGCGACTCGCGCGATTCAACAGCTACGCCCTTGCGGTTGCGAGCCGTGACACCAGGCTAGTGCGTTTCACGCTCGCGGCGCGACTTCTTGCGCATCCGCCGCTCCACCTTGGCCCAGTGCTGCCGTGCGGCGCCGCCCTGATTGTCCGGGCGACGGGTCATGCATCCGCGCGCGCGGATGCGCGCGCGCCGAACGCGCCATCCGAAATTGTGCATCCGTTTGCTCATTGGAGTTTGCACAGTAACGGTTTGGAGCGTCGGGCGGGCGGGCCTTGAGGGCGGGCGGGCGGGCCTTGAGTCGAGCGACGGCTGTGGCCAACAACTCGGACGACTTCCAGCGAGCAGCATTTCAGTCGTGGCTAAGGAGGCCCCGCGCGCAACAAGTAGCTGCCCGACCTCCACGCAGATTCCTGCGCTCATCCCGCAGTCACCTCGCCGAGGAAGTTTCGGGGCGCTGGAGTCGCCCCGAGCGGCGGCCCGAGCCCGTGTCGCGAGGTTCCTTGCATGAGCAGTCGCGCGCTATTTCGTGTGCTGCCCCAGAGAGTGCGAGGGCATGATGAGCGAGCTGCTGGGCAAGGCCCAGCCGACCGCCGCCTCCCAGCCGTGCGGGGGCGACCGCCGCAGGCGCTGGCGCCCAGATGTCCAGTCTCGCGGCGAACGCCGGCGATCAGAGCAATCAGCTGCACAACATTCACTCCTCAATGCGAGGCGCGTGGCAGACTTCTGAACACATCCTCCCAAAAGTGGGCAGGATTCGCCCCGCGTGGCCCGTCGTGACCAACGCCGTGAAGGATTTTGCGACGATCGCGACCTCTTAGGTTGCTGGCCTCCCGAAGGCCGCGGGCGCGATCGCAATCGACGAAGGCCGACGACCGCCCTCTCGTGAAGGCGTGGCCGCATCGCGGACGCTAGCGTGAAGTTGAAATTGGAGATCTGCGACTTTGCTGACAAGGGGTCTGGCGCGCCAGTGCGGCTCCAATGCAGTGCGGTGCTGGACTTACTCCTCGTTCGTCGCTCCCGCGTCGGGCCCTGGAGTGGGCGCTTGCTCGCCCGCGGTGGTTTGGTGCTATGGCCGCCTGGTGTGGGCGGTGACTTTGGGGCCGAGCTGCGCTGCGCAGCGTGCGCCTGCGCGCTGTCTGGGCTGCGTCAAGGCAGCGCCCGCGCGCGGACAGTTGCGCGCGAGCGCGTCGACGCGCGCGGCGCTGCCTGTCCCGGGGCACTGCCGGCGGTCACGCCCGGAGTCGCTCAACGCGTGGCCGGGCTCGCCGTCGTTATCCTGACGGCGACGCGCAGAGCATTGCGGTCGTCATGGCTGTATGCGACGCCGGGTCTCGGGCAGGGACAGCCGGCGGAACCGGCCTCCCTCGCGCGGCTGCCAGCAGCGCGAACCCAACCGTGGATCGATGGGAAGTGCTTATGCTTCCACGTGGCACAGCGCCATCTGTCCCCCCCAACGCGCCGTGCAGCATAATTGCAAATGCGTCATGACAGCCGCCGCCGCGCGCCGATGGGCTCGAGCATGCTGGGGTCCGCTGTGCAAGCGGCGAACTGGAAGGCTGAGCTGCGACGGGCGCCGCGAGGATGACCCGACCGCGCGCTCAGCGCAGATCTGGGTCGACACGAGCGCCGTCGAGAAGCCGTTCCATGCCGCCAGTGGCTGGCCAGCCTCTCCGTCAATTGCGTGGACTTTTTTGTCTCGCAGGAGATTGGCGCCACGTGGGCAACTGCGTGAACGTCTTCATCGCAGAGCTCAGGCGGGCACGACGCGCTAGGGCCTTAGGGGCTTGGCAGGCGTTATGTGCGTGTGCCCAGCTTTGGCACCGCAGCGCCGCCCGCGCTGCGGGGTGCCAGCGCGACTGCGCGCCGCCGCAGAGGTCAGTGCTGAACCACCGGCCGCGCTGCCTTACAGACCGCCTGGCATGCGTCGCGGTGGCCTGGCGCGATGGCCGCGTTGTGTTGCTGGCAGTGGGGAAGTTGCGAGCAGCCGAGGTAGGCAACTGCGACGCTGCTGTGCTGCTGGCCGCCTCCAGACTGCTCGCGCCGCGTCGGTGCCGCTCAGCAGTCAGCAGACCAACGCGCGGACCAGTCAACAGCTGTGATATGGTAAGCCTTAGCAACTAGAGGCGCACTGCCGCAAACAGCTGGACGAGCTAACAAAAGCCGAAGGCGAGTGGGCACGCCGGCAGCGTGCCGGAACTAGAGCTAGGGAACAAACCTGGCTGAAAGGCACGATCGGTGCTGCAGCTCGAGCGCACGCGGGGCACGGTCTGTGCCGGGCCACCACGGGCAAACGTTCCTGGCTGCGAGGCAACATCGACCGTTTGCAGCGGGCAAAGAGCTTTTTGGGGAGTCGTTACTAGCCACAACCCTGGTCAGAGTCAGCTCAGCTCATCTCGCGTATGCGCTGGCCATAAAGGAGCCTGCAGGTCCCCCAAGGTTTACAGTATTCCGCTCGGGCTGAGACTCCTGAACTATGGGTGAAGTTTGCCGGGCGTCCACTGCAAAGGCCACGCGGTGAATGTTCTGGCATCTCATTGCGGGTGGCCCCTTGTGGCCTGAGTGATGCGGGCGGGCTTTCTCCATTGCTCGGTAGCCCTGGTTCGACTAGGAGGGGTCCGCTGCCGTATTGCTCACAGCTGGCCAGCGTACCTGGTACTCATGTAAGGGAAGGGGGCCGCCGCTCTGCTATCCCTCACGTTGCCATTATCGCCGTGTCTCTCACCGTCCACCGCTGCCAACCGCAATTCTAGTTTCTCTTCCTCTTCCTCCCCATCCTCCCCCTTCTCCCCCTCCTCTTCCTCCTCCTCCTCCTCCTCCTCCTGTCCTCCTCCTCCTCCTCCTCCTCCTCCTCCTCTCCTCCTCCTCCTCCTCTCCTCCCCCTCCTCCCCTCCCCCCTCCTCCTCCCCCTCCTCTCTCCTCCCCTCCTCCTCCTCCTTCCTCCTCCTCCTCCTCCTCCTCCTCCTCCTCCTCCTCCTCCTCCTCCTCCTCTCCCCCCCTCTCATGGCTTCTCCTTCCCTCCTCCTCCTCCTCCTCCTCTCCTCTTTTTTCCTTCGGTCCCTCCTCTTCACCCTCGGGTCCTCCTCCTCCTCCTCCTCCTCCTCCTCCTCCTCCTCCTCCTTCTCCTCCTCGACCTTGTCGGTCCGTCCCCCTCCCACTGGTGGTTCCTTGTCGCGCGCCGCACCTCTCAGAGATGCTGGGCCCCTGCCGCGAGCGCGCCGCTGGGCGGGCGCTCTGGGCGGCCTGCCCGCTGGCGCTGCTCGTTCTGGCCGGGGGCCCGCTGTCCGGTGTTGGCCGGTCGCGGGCCGCGCTCGCCGCGCCCAGGTGGCAGCGGGGGGCCGCGGGCAGGCGGCCGGACCCGCCCGTCTGGTTCTGCTGCTTGTTTTTCTCTTCTCAGCCTCGCTGTCAATTTCTCTCGTGCTCCATCCTTCTTTCCCCCCGTTGTCCCGTCCCTCTTCCCTTCCCGTGCTCCGGGCGTGCGCAAAGTACGCGTGGCAGGTAGGGAATGTATATGCGAACCAGGGTACGGTTGAGGACGAGGAGGGGGAAATACATGTTGAGTGATACGTGGGCAAATAACGATCAGTCTTAACATGATAGTCGTAGTTGTAGTCGTTGATGTCGTCGTCGTCATCGTTGTTGTTGCTGTTGTTGCTGTTGTTATTGTTATTGTTGTTGTTATTGTTGTTGTTGTTGTTGCTGTTGTTGTCGTTGTTGTCGTTGTTGTTGTTGTTTGTCGTTGTTGATGTTGTCGTTGTTGCTGTCGTTGTTGTTGTTGTTGTTGTTGTCGTTGTCGTTGTCGTTGTCGTTGTCGTTGTCGTTGTCGTTGTCGTTGTCGATGTTGTTGTTGTTGTTGTTGTTGTTGTTGTTGTTGTTGTTGTTGTTGTTTGTTGTTGTTTGTTGTTTGTTGTTTGTTGTTTGTTGTTTGTTGTTTGTTGTTTGTTGTTGTTGTTTTTGTTTATGTTGTTGTTGATGTTGTTGTTGTTGTTGTTGTTGTTGTTGTTGTCGTCGTTGTCGTCCTCGTTGTTGAACATTA